AGCGTTTCGAAGACCGTTTCGCGGAAGTGCTGTAGAGCAAATCGCAAACACGTATAGTATACATATAATAAACGTTAAACGTTTCGCGGAAGTGCTATAGAGCAAATCGCAAACACGATTCCAGAACCCGTTTCTATACATCGCTTTTTTCAACCCGATTAAAGCTTTAGACAGAAAGCGATTAAGAGTTAAGATTGTACAAGCCGGAAAACCGGATCGACATGAACGATATAAGAAAGACGGAGTTAAGGAAATAAACGATTATATAAGACATGGAGGCGAGATAAATCTCTTTCCTTAACTCTTAATATTCGCTCCGTAGTGAGACGAAACTGTACGAATATCGAGTCCCAGGATACAACCATGGCAGACGAATCACGCGTCACTCGTGAAACGACCTAACAAACATAAATTCTACGAACACTCTGTAAACTTACTTTGGGAGATTTGCTGGTTTTTTCTTGCGTGAAAAAGTTAAGAATGAAGAAGGAGGAGAGGCAATATTTAAAGAGACGGAGAAGACCCACTTCCCGCAACAACTGCTGCACGTGGGCGAAAATCTCGCTGAGATCTCGGGAGTGGAAGCTCAGTAACTTTCTCCGCAAGATCTTCTCTTTTATTTGACTCGTTCAAATTGTTTTGCAAACAGATAGACTTCGTGTTGTTTTTTCACAAACTACGTGTTGTTTATTTACACACGTCATGCTGTTTGTAAATTTAAAAATGGCAAAGCGTTGGGTTTAATTTGGTCCAAAAAGATAACTTCTTATCGGGTCTACGGCCTCCAAGCCCAAGCCGGACGGCGGCGGCGCGCGCGTGGGGAGCCATCTCTCTCTCCAAGCTGTTTAAACCATGATAACACAAAGGCATATATATACTGCTCTCTGATGTTACTTCTGGCCGATGTGGGACAAAACCCAAAACTGGGTTTTTCATTTTTTGTCCACACCAACATACCAACTTCGAAGCTTCATTTCTTATTCAATTTTGATCTGTTTTTAAAGTGTGAATATACCACGTTGTAGTACTTGTTACAAGCTTTACAACGAGCTGATGATCTGACCGGAACGACCACTGGCTTGGCCGGAAAAGTCGCCGGAAAATCAGAAACTATCAGCTTTTAAAAAATAGAGTTCCAACAAGCCCTTCCTTGGCAAAGTTAGAGTCAATGGAACACCCTTTCTTCCTCGCTCTGAAGCAGCTCCTTTCAACAACCCTCTCGAGAAACGCAGTGTCTTCTCTCGGGCGCGTGGAGAGCTTGGTTTGAGAGTCTTCATCACCGACGACCCTTCTGTTACTCCTTCTGTTCCAGAATCTCCTCGAGCTTATATCCCGAGTCCGCGGCAGAACGGTTCCCTAATCACAGCTGATGCTAATATTATGAGTGCTGCTGATTATAGAACAGAGCTTAAGAAGCCTAAAACACGTACGTTTTATAACGCTACCCCTTCAGTGAACCAACAACAGCCTACAACGATGAACTATGGCATGCAGGAGATGAGAGCTGCTGCGCCAATGCCAATGCCTCCAAGAGTAGTTCAATACAACGAGCGTCCAGGTCCATCAGATTTCTCTGTGAAAGAGACGAGCCCTTTCCTCGGAGGGGGACAGATCATTGGAGGACGAGTTGTTCGTGGTACAAAGAGAACTGCAAGCGGCACATACGTTCTTGTTGAAGAGATGAGGTTTCTCTTTGTTAGAGTCGTGAAGGCGCGTGATCTCCCCGACAGAGACCTTTCAGGAAGCCTAGACCCATTTGTTGAAGTAAAAATAGGAAACTTCAAAGGCGTTACTACACATTTGGACAAAAATTCGGATCCGGAGTGGAACCAAGTCTTTGCATTCGCTAAAGAGAATCTTCAGTCTAACGTTCTTGAAATCGTGGTCAAGGATAAAGACCTTGTTCTTGATGATTATGTAGGGACTGTTCGGTTTGATCTCCATGAGGTTCGGTCTCGTGTTCCTCCGGATAGTCCTTTAGCTCCCGAGTGGTACAGACTTGAGAACAAGAGACAAGAGAAGAAGAAATCTGAGATAATGCTTGCTGTTTGGGAAGGAACTCAAGCCGATGAAGCTTTTGGTGATGCGGTTTTCTCAGACTCATTGACATCTTCAGACAGCTCCAACGTTATATCGGCCAACCTGCGATCCAAGGTCTACCACTCTCCTCGGCTATGGTACCTAAGGGTGAGGATAATAGAGGCTCAAGACGTGATCATCGTGTCCGACGAGTCACGTCTTCCTGAGGCCTTTGTGAGAATCCAGATTGGTAATCAGATGTTAAAGACAAGAGTCTCTCACAGAACGTTTAATCCGACATGGGACCAGGAGTTCATGTTTGTAGTGGCTGAGCCGTTTGAGGAAAACTTGGTCCTCTCCGTGGAGGACCACTCTGCACCTAACAGAGATGAGCCAGTAGGGAAAGCTGTGATTCCTCTGGCTGCTATTGAGAAACGCATAGATGATAAAAAGTTTCGTAGCCGCTGGTTTCATCTGGAAGACTCCATCTCAGACGCCATGGATGAAGACAAAGCCAAGAAAGTGAAGTTCGCTACTAGGCTCCATGTGGCCGCAGCTCTTGAGGGCGGCTACCATGTTTTTGATGAGTCCACTTACTACAGCAGCGACCTTAGGCCAACGGCGAAACCGCTCTGGAAACCGCCACTAGGAGTCTTGGAGCTTGGGATACTTAACGCAAACGGGCTCCACCCGGTGAAAGCTAGGGACGGTAAAGGTGTGTCTGATACATATGTTGTTGCTAAATACGGTTACAAGTGGGTTCGGTCAAGAACTGTAATCAACAGCTTGAGTCCAAAGTACAATGAGCAGTACACATGGGAGGTTTTTGATCCAGCAACGGTTCTAACCATCTGCGTCTTTGACAATGATCACTTCTCAGCTGGAAATGACAGCGGAAACAACAGAGATCAGATGATTGGGAAAGTACGTATCAGACTCTCCACTCTTCAGAGTGGTCGTGTGTACACAAACGCTTACCCTTTACTTGTTCTACAACCATCTGGTCTTAAGAAAAGAGGCGAGCTTCACTTAGCCGTGAGGTTCACATGCACATCAGTCTCCAACATGCTGATGAAATACACGAAACCTCTCTTGCCTAAAATGCATTACACGCAACCTTTATCCGTAAACCTACAGGAAGTGCTTAGGTTGCAGGCTCTCAACATAATGGTGGCTCGCCTAGGCCGGTCCGAGCCGCCGCTTAGACGAGAAGTAGTTGAATATATGACAGATGCTAAGACTCATCTTTTCAGCATGAGGCGAAGCAAAGCCAACTTCTATAGGTTCACAGAAGTGTTCTCAGGAGTGATGTCAGTATGGAAATGGATGGGAGAAGTGTGCACGTGGAGGACGCCGGTGACGACGGCGCTGGTGCATGTGTTGTACACGATGCTTGTGATGCTACCGGAGATGATTTTGCCCACTGTGTTTCTGTACATGGCTGTGATTGGGTTGTGGAACTACAGGTTTAGGCCAAGGTTTCCTCCTCATATGGACACCAAACTATCATACGCAGAGAATGTGAATGCTGATGAGCTCGACGAAGAGTTTGATATTTTTCCGACCATGAAGGCTCCGGACATTGTGAAGATGAGGTAATAACATATTTTGATTATAATCTAGATATGGTGTTTGGTTTTGATGGGTTTTCTTTTGTGTTCTTGTTTCTCAGGTACGACCGGCTGAGAGTTGTGGCGGGGAAGATACAGTCTGTGGTGGGAGACATAGCGGCACAAGGAGAGCGCGTGCAGGCTCTGCTGAGCTGGCGTGATCCACGCGCCACAGCAATATTTGTGACTTTTTGTTTGATCATTGCCATGTTTCTGTACATAACACCTTTTAAACTGTTTGCTCTCCTCTTTGGTTACTACTTCATGCGACACCCTAGGCTCCGGCACCGTATTCCCTCCGCTCCACTCAACTTTTTCCGACGACTTCCGGCCATGACAGACTCTATGCTATGAATCATCTATGTATATAGACAGATAGATCTTCATCATCTTCTTCTTTTTCTTTCAATATCTATCTACTTATCTATGTTGAGAATCTTGCATTCATGAAATCATTTCGACGAATGAAACAAGATTGAACTCTGTTGATGACCGAGTCACGTGCTTAAACAAGAGAGCAGAAAATCTATAAATGATACACACAAAATAACCAGTTGAGATCCATGATTTGTGAATCATAATCTGGGGTTAATCAAACTGAATCGTTGCAAATACATTACAATATGATATGGCTGAGCTTAAAACAGAAGAGGAGGAAGACGATGAAAAACAGCTACGGTTAGATAAGGCATGAACATATAAGCATATCTCCTAAGAACCAACCAAACTGAAATGGGATTAAATTTCCAAATATCAAACAGGTTTCTCTATTTTTATATCCTAACCAGACATGAACGGAATGGGTATTCAAATTTATACATAAAATAACCATATATAAAAATGTAATTTTTTTTTTTTGGGTGCAACTATAAAAATGTATTTTACTAAAACATCCAAACGTATTTCAAAAAACTGAATAATCGACAGACTCTATGCTATGAATCATCTATATATATAGACACATCTTCCTTCTCTTCTTCTTTTTCTTTGAATATCTATCTACTTATCTATGTTGAAAATCTTGCATTCATGAAGTCGTTTCGACGAATGAAACAGGATTGAACTCTATTGATGACCGAGTCACTTACTTAAAAAAAAAGAACATAAGATCGATATATGATACACAAAAATAACCAGTTGAGATCCATGATTTGTGAATCATAATCTCGGGTTAATCAAACTGAATCGTTGCAAAGAAATCACAACAAGAACAAATGAGAAAAAAAATAGTGAGCATTACCAATAGTTGAGGTACAACTTTTTTTAAAAACCTCAAGTCCCACAAATATGGATTGCCAACCATAGGATTGATATTTCATTTTTGGTAACCAGATGACCAAAAACATCCTCTAAACCGAAATAACCAAATAAACCAACTACTGAAACCCATAACCGGATTATGGTCCTCAAATAAAAGAAAGAAGTGCATCAAAGAGTCATCCAAAGAGAGCATGTGAAATCTTATGTGGTTCCTTGAATTTCTCCTGAGCTACCTCGGAAAATAAACGAAAACAACCATACATTCTAATTTCTATTAGACCCTTCTGATTCTTTGCTTTTACATGATTTTACAACCAATCCCAATGACAATATTCACATCTAACACTAGTCCACTCTAATCCGCGATAAACTTGAATTTATCATATCCACGTCTCCTGTTGCCACCATACCAAAACAATAAGCTGTTTGAACAGAAAAATGTTATTACTTGCTCCTGTTTCTACATAATGAGATCGCCAAAGTAAACACTTGAACAATGCTAATCAAAAGCTAGACTGAAAGCATTCAGTTTCATATTCTTCAAACTCCTATTGCAAGTCGGTATATAAGCTACATCTATTCAATGCGAGTTCCTTATCATCAAGATACCATCCATGGGAACATCTCTAGTGAAGTAAAAGAAAAAACTTCTCCTTACTTGTTCTTGCTCTTCTTCTTTTCCAACTGCTACTAATACTACTGTAGCTAATGCTATATTCAAACACGAAACAGAAACTATAAGAAACAATCGAGGAATGAAATATTATAACAAAAAAGGAAGTAAAAGCCTTTCATTCGTGGTTTCAGACATTGCAAGCTTACATCGCTATGACTGACTATCTCACCAACAAAAACAACAGCAAAAAAAACATGTTTAACCTATCAAGATTCCTCCACTATCATGAGAACTCCCTACCAAGCTTCTGAATAGCAGAGAACAACTTCCTTCTCGACCCAACAGCACTAATCCCCATATCTTTCAAATCTTCCAAAGTCAACAAAGGCAAAACCTCATCATCAACCTCATGTATCTCAAACATTGGCCAATACCTCCCTAACCCTAACTCTTGCAACCAAATCTTGACCCCTTCTCTACCGTAAAACCCACCACCATCTCTCACTAAAGACTCCTCCTTTACCGGACTCTCCGAATCCTCTCTACTGAAATCCCTAAACCCACCTTCCATTTCTTCCCCTTTCTCATCCCAACTGGATCTAACCCGCTTCGCCGACCCGACCCGTTTCTTGACCCGCCAACTCCCAACCACACCAAAAGAATCAACATTATCATCCTCTAGGGTTCCAATATTCGTCAGGGCTCGGGTCCTCGTCGACGGTTTGGTCTTGTTACATGTCGCCGTCGGTGCCCACTTCGGTTTCCTCACCGGAAAATCGTACGCCGCGTGGTGGTAGTCGCCGCCGATCTCGCCTAATCGAACGCTTGGTCTCCTCAATCGTTTGGATCCACCGGCGGCGTTAATCGTCAGCGCTTCGGCTGAGGTTGACGGGAGAGAAGGAGTAACGCCGCCGTTTGGTTGCAGTTCAGCCATTTCTAAAGATTGCTTTCTTGGAGGCAGAGAGGTATATTGGGTAAGATTATGAGAGTGTGGGAGCTAGTGGAGAGTATGAAAGGTCAAGTGCTTAGGTAATTTAGGTTTTAACTGGAGAGGTCAGAAGAAGAAGTGGGATGTTAGAAAGAGAATCGTCATCAGGAGAATCGAACAAGGACGAGGAGAGAGAGAGATGTTCTTTTTCTTTTTTTGACACGTACGCTCGTGCACAACTAAGAGTTCTGTAATGAAAAACATATCCTTTTGACTTTCCGACAGTGCTGCCGATCAAAAACATTCTTAGTGAAATTCAATTGACGTTAATGATGAAAAGTTGAAAACGTTTTGTGAAAGATTCAAAAGATGTAAGACTTTAGAGTAAGCAAGTTTAATTAATGTAAGATCAAATGTAAAGATGTTTTTGTAATGTAAGTTAAATGCAACAATAGTATATCCACACCCTATAAGCTGATGATTCTCTACAGTAATAAATTGATACTAAATTAAGGTCTACGCTTTGCACAAGATGAATATTATATATTCAAATTAATTTCACATATTATTTTTTTTATATATAAGAAAATTATATACAAATATATATATGTATGTTGAATAATTAAAAATCCAGTAACCATTACGTATATAATTAAATTGGTGTGAATATGTAAATACATTTATTAAACTAAATTTTCAATTTTATATTGTATATAATTAAATCTAAATAATATATATTATTTTTTATTATTGATAAATATTAAATGATGTGTTTTACACATTTGGTTTTTTGAAGATTTGACATTTTATAACAAAAATTATAAAATACTTATAACAAAATTTTCATTGTACAATGTTTAAAAGTTTTAGTAATTTATATTTTTTTAACAACACTAGTTAATGCAATTTAAAAATTCAAATAATAAATTTTCCTTATTTGTTCAAAGCTTCTTATCAAAAATAAATATTTTTCAAACGAAATTTGAAAATTAAAATATTTCTGTATTTTCTATGTTATATATTAATCATAATCTCTATAATATTATTTGAGAAGTCACTTTCTTAGGTGTCGCGCTCACGTTAACTCTCATGCTGGTTGATTACTATGATACCCCTAATGAATTAAAAATATTTTTAAATATTATTATTTCCTTTTTAAAATCTTCCAAATAACAATATAAAACAAAAAGGGATTATTTCTAAAATTTACAAAACTATTTAAAAACGAAAAATAAGTATATATATAATATGGTTTCATAAAAAGGAAAAGTTTACAAAATAGTAATATTTAACTTAAATATATTTTTAAATAACATAAATTATACTTTTTAAGTAATCTCTATAATATTATTTGAGAAGTCAGTTTCCTACGTGTCGTGCTCACGTTAATTCTTGCGGTGGTTGATTACATAGATACCCTTAATGAATTGTTAGATTTTAAGATTATTATTAATTTTTTATTTAATTTCTTTTTTACCTTTTTCCAAATAACATATATAATAAAAAGGAAATATTTCTAAATTTTAAAACGAAAATATTTGTAAATAAGATGACTTTATTAAAAAGGAAAGTTCACAAAATAATAATACCCCCATTAATATATATATATATATATTTTAAATAACATAAAATATATTTGATAAATATTATGAAATACATGTATATTTAAGCGATAAATAAAATTAATTTGATTTGACGTAACTAAAATAAAGAGTAAATAAATATTATGAAAGTACCTATATATTTAATCGATAAATAAAAATAATTTGATTTGACTTAACTAAAATAAAAAGTAATTATACATCAATTTCAATTTAAAAATATATTTAATTCAATATACTCACAAAATGAATGAATCGACTAATCTAATTTATATTCAAAAATTAAACATCTAACTACATTAAGAACTTATAATTTTATAATAATAATAATAAGAATACTAATAATAATATTTTTAATTTTACATATAACTTAGAGGTTGACTCAAAGCATATTAAAAAAAAAAAATATATTAACCAATCACAATTTAATTCTTTTGTAGAATTTATATATATATGAGACTTCAAAATATTATCATTATATTCAGTTATGTAATTTTGAATCAAACAATTCAGCTTATTATTTATTTCATTTTAAGAACAATATATAATAAGTTATACATAATTTAACTATAATATATTTACATATCTAAGACAATAACCAACCGAAATGAAAATAAGAAAATTAATCAAAGTTTTATCTTATTTAGAATAGAAAATATTATAGCTGAATTCGAAAATAGATATTATCCAATATACCAAATTGATAACCAAACCGATTATTGATCCAAAAAATAACTAAACCGACAATAATATATCAAAATTCATATGTATAATTAGAATAATATAATATTTATTAATATAAATTATACATATAATTTATTTAAAACTAAAACTAAATAGCAATCAATTATTATAAAATTTTGCTTTTATGAATATTCATATCCGTGCATGAGCACGGGAAAATCACCTAGTATTTATTAAATGAGACTTTCTACTTTTATAGTTTTGTAATTATTTATATCTTGTCATAGAAAACAGTAATTAAACCATGGATCATAAAAATTTCAAGGTTAGATTTTTTAACAAATTCAAAATATAATATATACGGCAAAGTCTAAATATTTTATTATATGATTAATGTGGTTGTTTAATTTATCAAACAATAAGTAAAAGAGGAATAAGATCACCAGAGAGAACGCCCACGTAAGATTAAAAAATCAACCAATTAGAGAAGTTTAAGTCGCCACATCATTGCTGGTTTGTTGACTGAAGATAAAAAATATGGGTCTTTGGTATTATTCGGTTACATGTCCTTCTTTTTAGTCCAACAATGAATCCATTCTCTATCTGTAAAATATAATTCTCCATTGCCGTCTTCAATCTTTTCTTATCACTACCTTCATCTGTACTGTTTCCCCTTCTCCTCTTGAATGTATACGTTCACTATGTTATATCTCTTCACTAGCTACAGAAATACTAACGCCATGGATCGATTTCCATCCCACCAACTCCACACTATATATAGAGTATTTGCACTCCATACACACACAAAACCTCATATTTAACTCTATACCCTATTTCCTCCTTCTCTCTCCTTCCTCCATTACTTTTTTCCCCCCCAAAATAAGGCAAATCCCTAAATACCTTCTTCTTCTAGTATATAGAGCTAAATTACTCCTATATATATCCCTCATCTATTTATTCATTCCCCTCTTCACCACACGTCCACAGTCACAAAAATTAGTTTGTCAGATCTACTGAGGACTACAGAGACAGCGAAATCAACCGGAAATCCCCATGTCTCTCTTCTTCAGTGATGTGTTACTAGTTTGGGAGAGTCTGAGCTATGCTTCGATATAAATTTATTTCTAGGAAGCAAGAAACACAACAAAATGGCTTCCTAATTGGTCTGGAGCATTTTTTATTGATGAACAGTTATGAACTCATCTTTATATGATGACTATTGGAATCTCTAAAATTCAAATTTGCTGACTGAAACTATTCGATATGACTGGTTGTGTACATCCTTCTCAATTTCTTTGCAACCAAAAGAAAATAGATATAATGTTTTCTAGATCACAACCTGTCTGTTCCATTCACAACTCGGTTATGTCCGTTCTTGAAGAGAACAGCCTGGTGTTTGAGTTGGACAAATTCATGTTCCATCCAACTACATAATTTGAAGCGAACTCTATTCTTAGAGGTGATCTCTATGGAAGGTTTATGTACTCTTATGAAATATTTTTTTGGTGTGAAAATAATTTAAAGAAAAGAATTTTGGGGCACCTACAAACTTTTATAACAAATTACTTTCATCTTTATTCCCTTCGAAATTTTAACAAACTTTCGATGAACATTTGCAGTGGCCTTGTCCTGAATGCTTACCTGTTGGATCAGGCTGCCAATGAGTTTTATATCAGCCAATAAACTTCAGTCGATCTGTTAGTCAGAACAGCTAACAAAAAAAATGGAGGAAGAGCCCTTTTTACTCACTTTGTAACTCATGGTCATCCTTCACGATTTCTCACTTATTATATGTTTGTGAAGTATATAACCTTAGATTTCACTTCTTCAGGCCAGTCCTTAGTTGAGTATCTATATTGGTATGTATTCCTTGCTCATTTTAATTAACAGGTGTGAACTCCATCTGACTCAAAAATATGTTTTAGGTCGACACAAGGCCAAGATGTTACTGTTATGATCAACGCGTATGAGGTGACAAAGGTGGAGACACTAGCAATTCGTGAGATCTTTACCTTCTTGAAATAGAAACCAGCTCAGTTAATTAGTTATTAGTAATTATTTTTAATACAACTCATACATAGTACGTTTACGTGCAATGCTTACTCTTTCCTAATTGTAGGTAGCCTTTTTAAGTGCATAGCCACCATTGATAACATTGTGTGGGACTCTAGGTGGTATTATATTGCATGTAGTGATTGCCAAAATAAAAAGTGAAGAGAGGGCAAAATTTGAAAACGTGAATGCAACTAGAGTTGCGAGGTAAGCTCACCTAATCCTCACCTTTCTTCATCGCTTATCCTTTCATTTTAAGCTCCTTTCATTCTAAGTTGTCTACTCATCAACACAAGTAGAGTTGTGAAATTTCAGTTTACGACAATGGTAAGAAGACCACATATGTACTACTTGGGGATGCTATCCATGAGCTCACAAGAAGGCAGGCGTTGGAGTTAATTGACAACTATTCAACTGCAGAAAATATTTGTGGTGGATTTGACTCTTTCCTAAACCTCTGGAATCTGCTGGAGAATTATTATTTGGGATTTAAAAGACAAGATTCAAGCTCTCGTGAGTCCTGCCATCTCAATTCAAAGATGCGCTCTCCTGGATCTTGCAGACGGGATCAAAGATCATTAGTTGGTGGATGGATCAACAGTATTTTCTAGAACTGTTAAAGTACAGAAAAGGCGGCCCCTAGACCTAGAGGCAGCAGAAGCTGCAAATCGCAGTGGCAGGTGGAGGAATCAAATCCGAAGTGTTTTCCACAATGTCTGATGTAGCCGTGTTGCTCAAACATGAGCCCTTTGTTTAGCACTTTGGAGGATCCATTTAAATTTTATTTTTTTGTTTTCAGGGTTTATCAAAGTCAGATATTTATGTGAAACTATTTGTTGAAGCAGCCATCTTCTGATTATTGTTTTTCCGACAGCACATTCCATTCATTTTGTGAGAATTAACCCGAAGCTCAACCAAATTACAAATCTAGAAAAGCTTCATAGAGATTCCAACTCCAAAAGGAAAAAGCGGATTCAAATCAACTTCTCAGTTAGCAAAAAAAAAATCAATATCTTATCGTTGCCTATGTCTTCAGAAAATCCCTAAATAGAACAAGCAAGTCTGAAGAAGACCTTAAACAACATTAAACAGCATAAAAGACCTTAAACAACAAGCAAGTCTGAAAACGAAATAAATCATTTTTTGAGAAACAACATACTCAGCATTAAACATCATAACTTACATTTTAGTAATACAGGTTTTAAGTACACTAGAGATTTTTCCCGGGCTACGCCCGGGTTTTTTCCTTATATTTTAATTTTGTTTACTTTATTATAGAATATATTTAACTACTTATTCTATGCTTAAACTAAATTATCTATATAAACTATTATTTTTTAAAAAAATTGTATTATTTTTGGTGACTAAAATTAGAAAATTATTAAAATTCATTTTTTAAATATCAAAATACATATAAATTGGTAATAAACTGAACAAAAATTTTTTTTTTTTCAAATTCAATTATTTTTTAACTTGTTTATTTGAATTTTATGAAAATGTGGTTAAATTAACATTTAATTCAAATATTTTTAACGTTAATATCAACAATATATATATATATTTAAAATTTAATATTTATTATTTATTATTTATTATTTGGTGATAATAAAATATATATGACTTCGCTCTTAAGTGTTAAGGCAGTGAAGAAATGAAGAATAATTAAAATATAAAAGTGATGTACTTAAAAAGAATCTTGAAATTATTTCAAATACTTTTGTTTCTATTAATCAAAAAAGAGTATGAAGCTACCCTTAAATTGTATAATTTTTAGTTAAATTAAAATATTTTACACTTCTATAAGAACATGAATTGTGTATGTTTATAACCATCAACTTTAAACCATTGTCTTGTGTCTAACATATTCAAAAATAATTTAAACTCACAGTTTGTTCTTTTTTATTACTGGAAATCATATATAGAATAGTAAGTAAGATGAGTGAAAACTAACTTATCATTGTTCAAACCAAACCAAACTAAAGAACAAAATTTTAAACAAACCATTATCAAAATTTGATTTTTAAATCATATAAACCAAATGACTCTGTTTTATTTTTGTTTTTGTTTTTGTATTTGAACACCGCCAAATGACTCTTTAAATTAAGAATCTCGACCTCGTCTAAGGGACCTTAGTCTTTCCCTTAG